GTCGCGGCAGTCCCGGTTCCGGGCCGTGCGGTGCGGTCCCGGGCAGGCGGGGCGGGGCGGTTCCGAGCCGGGCGGGGCGGTCCCGGGCGGCCGGTGCGGGGCGGTGCCTGGCGGCCTCGGTTCCGAGCCGGGCGGGGCAGTCCCGGGCGGCCGGTGCGGGGCGGTCCTGGGCTGTCGGTGCGGGGCGGTGCCGGGCGGCCTCGGTTCCGAGCCGTGCGGGGCGGTCCCGGCCGCGCCCCTTGTCCCCGGTGCCTCGCGCGCTCCCTTCCGGCGCGGGCGGTGTTCCCGCAGCATCCCCCGCCACAATCGCGACAATAAACCCACCGCCGGTGGAGAACTAGACAGTCAAAATTAAAAGAATCCATATATTTAATCCTGAATGCAACTACTGTGCAGATAAAAAGGAACCATCTCAAGGTAGTATGCTGTGCCTGAAAGTTTGTATTGACACAGTCTGAGTATGGTCACAGATGAAAAACACATTCACAATAGCATGTGGTGACCCATGTGCTTTCAGGTGCTCCCAGATAAACACATCCCCACGCGGCAAGACTCGTGGATAACTCCCCGCAGCAGGACCGAAGTACTACCTTAAAAATATCGAAAATAATTTCTGCAACAGATTTATTTGAATATAAAATAAAATAGCACTGAAATAGTGGCTCAGGAATCCAGTGAGTCCTGGATTCATCGTATAGTTTTATATAGACATAAATAAATATATCAAAAGCTCTGGAAACTATAAATTTGCTGCTGACACAGAAGTTACTCATCTGGGGGGTGCCGGAACACTCTCAGTGGGTTTGAGATAGGTGTCCCCATGTCCCTGTTACAAATGTGTAAGTCAGAGGAAGATACATCTGGTTCTATCTGAAACACATTCTTGCGAGCCTTTCCCAAGTGACCTTCAAGGTGTGTTGGTGATCTTGGTTTGTCAGGGCAAAAGGGCTGTGGGGAGGAAGGAAAAGCAGCAAATTGCTGCCAAAGTTTGGCTTTGCATGGACTATCAAATTCTCTTGGAAAATGGTTCTGCCTTAGTGTCGCCCGGACCAAAGCCACAATGTCAGCGATGTCGGGGCTCTCACCTCAGCTCAGTGTGACAGGACCACCGAGGGAGAGGTTTGGTCCTTCCCTGGAGCCAAACCAGCGCACAGCAGGAGACTGTTCCTTGTGTTCCTCCTTCCCTGGGGAAGAGGGAGAAGCGGGGGGTCAGTGCACAGGCTCGGCCCGGCTCTGCTCGGCACGACTCGCCTAGAGCACACCCGGAACACGCCTAGATCACACCTGGAACACATCGGGAACACACCTGGATCAGGCTGGAACATATCTGGATCACGGCTGGAACACATCGGGAACACACCTGGATCAGGCTGGAACGCTCCCAGAACTCCCCGCTAGGTGGCGCTCCAGGCTCGGCCAAGGCGGCGCTGCCGGGCCGGGAGTGGGCGGGGCTGACTTTAATGGGCGTGGCCATTACAGCGGGCCGTGGCTGTGGGCGGGGCCGTGGCTGTGGGCGGGGCCGTGGCTGTGGGCGGGGCCATGGCGGAGGGCGGGGCCATGGCGGAGGGCGGGGCCGGGGCGGAGGGCGGGGCCATGGGTGCCGCTGCAGTTCTGGTCCCGCCGCGCTCCCGCCCCGCCGGGACCGGTCTGGACACGGGGACAGCCCGCAGGGCCGCGGTCCCGGAGCCATCCCCGAACAGCGGGGCTTGGCGCGCTCCTCACTGGACATCGCCCCTGAGCCCGCCCGCCCCCCGCGCTGGTTCCGCCCGGCACGGCCCTGAGGCCCCGCACTCACATCCCCGCGGGTGCCCGCAGCCCCGGGCCGCCCCAGCCCCGCTCCCCCGGCCCCGCCCCGCCGTGCCCGCCCGAGCCCCGAGGCCCCGCGGGAGCAGCAACTGGGGCCGCTCCTCGCTGGGCTCTCGCCGGCCTGGGAAAGTGTCAGTGGGTGGCGGAGCTGGAACAGCCACTCCCACGGCTCCCGTCCAAGGCCGTAAATGCGAAGGTGGGGAGATGACAGCGACTGAGGAGCATGAGGAGGACGGGACACCGTGGTTACCCCACCTGGTCCCCCGTCACCCAGCCCAGCCAGGTGACACAGATCAGCCCTGGCGCTGTTCCAGTGCCAGGACTCACAACTGACAAGCCCGAACTGATTCCCTGGCAGCCCTGCTTTCCCCGTGGTGCTCCACACAGGACTAGAGCAGACGGAAAACAAGTATTTGTACAGTCTAGAACACAGATCTTTAATGCTTTTAATAAAGGAAAAATCTTCTAATTCTCCACTTAAGCCCAGCTTAAGTTCCAGCTATCTGTCCTGCAGCCTCAGGACCTTGGAATAGTTCCCCTCTTTTAGAAATTTCCTGAAGGAATAATCGAGTTCTGTTCCTGGGAGCTTCTGACACTTGGCAGGGTACCCTGGAAGGATAGCATTCCTCTTCCCTTGATGAATCTTTTGAACGCTTACACAAGAGATCATTAATGCACGATCTGTACCAAATTCATCAAAGCAAGAGGCTGTGATTACCTAGGAAATGTCAGACAACTGTGGAGAACTTCTGGAAAGCTAATAGACAGCAACTTCTCTGCCATTTTTATTGGAACACAAGGAAATGGGGTGCTTTGTAAGAGACAAAGTCACCTCTCCTTGTCCCTGCTCAGACTGACAGCCCACATCTTGCCAGCAGAACTGCTCCAGCATGGACTCCCTTCTGCCATGCAGGACAGAGACCGTGGCTTCTGCTCTGTCACTGTTCCCTTCCACGGGCCTTTGTGTGCTCTGGCTCTACCTCCTTTCTTTCCTTTGCAGAGCCCCAGAGTGGGTGCTCTGACCTCAAATTTGCTCTGGAAAATTTTCCATGTGGTCAGGGAAGGTATTTCGCTCATGTTGTCCCACCGGTGCCAATCTCCAGGTGTCGTCTCCGCAGCTCTCGGTAGGGCAAAGAGCAACGTGCAGATAAAGGGGGATTGAGCAACCCAGCTCTGCAAAGGCCAAGCCTGCTGGGTCAGAGGTGAGTAGAAAATCAGCAGAAGACCAACAAAAACCTGAGCATCACCATGTCACATGGGAATAGGGTGAGGGAGCATTTCGGGGGGAGGGGTCTGGTCTGTAACAAAAGAAGCAAAGGAGTTCAGGAGACAGTGCCTGGGACTGCCTGGGGAGCTTTGGGCCTGAGCACTGCCAGGCAGAGCATCCAGCAGCGGGTTCAGGAGGCGGAAAGCGTGTGGCAATCGTTTTTGATGTTAAAATGAAGCAAAGTGTCGAGACTGGTCTAAGAGCTGGGGCAGACGGAAGGAGAGCCAACTTCTCTTGGAGTTGAGACATTGTCCCTCTCTGACATCTTGTAAGTGTTGGTGTTTTACAGCAAGGAGAGAGCAATAGATTCAAACCTGGCCTCTGCCAGGTACAACTTGTGAGTTGTTGGTGCATGGTGTGCGGCTGAATAAAGAGGGACCTGGGGCAAGGAAAGGAAAAGAGAGCACTTGCCATGCTCAGAAATAAATTTCAAATTTACTTCTCTATTTTGCAGCCTTTATTGCAACACTACTTAAGTCAGTCTTTTAGGCAAGGTCCCCTCCTATCCCCCCAGAGACCTCCCCACACCACCTCTGTGCTCTCTTCCCACACCACCCTGTTTGCAGAGACACTGTGCTCTGGAACCCCTCACTTCTTCTCCGGCTCCCCTCCAACACACTGCCCACAGCACCCCAGGCACTGCTGCAACTGTCAGCTTCTGGCATCACCTTTCTTTCCCTGTGCCCCAGCTCTGCCTCTCTGTGCTGTTCCAGGCTGCAGCCCTGTGGCTCAGCACCTTCAGTGTGATGCAGCTCTGATCTTACTGACCTGCTAAGAGCTACTGCAAGGGAAATAATAATAATAATAATAATAATAATAATAATAATAATAATAATAA